AGGAGCTAACTGGACGCTAACCGTGTCACTCAAATAATTAACTGTCGCAATGTTGGCAAAGAGAAGAAATGACGTAAGATTTGCGCATGCATGGTATGGATCGGGTAGCGACAGCGTACTTTGAATTGGAACAGTACTGATGACGTGTCATGAGTAGGGATGGGTATCGTTTAGGTTTTATCCGATACCAGTACCAAACCGGTAGTTTTGAAACGGTGCTTAAACGGTGCTCGATCCGGTGCTTAAAGAATGGAGAACACAAAATTGGTCCAAAAACCTCTCATGTTCAGCTGTTTTTTTTATAAAAAGATAACAATGTTAGCCTTTTCTGCAGCTACAGGGGATTTATGGCATCACTCTTGGCCAAAAACTTCTCATGTTTAGCTGTTTTCCTCTTTTTCTTTGGTCATTTTAGCCTTTTTGGCCAGGGTGAAGGGAGTATCTGCCATCAAACAAGAAGGCAGCCGCATGTAGCTATGATGATATTTGCTAGTTCACCTTACATGCATTAATGTAATAATGTGGTTAGCCTACTCAACGTAAATTACACACGAACAACATTAAGCTACTCACGCAGAGAAGAACGGCTGCTGCTGCATCATCATCCTCATCATTTCTGCTACACTGGCAGGGCTAGGGGCCAGGACTCTGCTCTTCGGGTTTTTGGGGGATGTTGCAAACTCCGGGTCCGATAACAGGCACCACACCCGCAGTAGATGCGCTTGGTGTGAGGTCTCGCAGCAAGCTCTCAAATACGGAGCATTTCTCAGCTTGTAACAAAATGCTATACGTCATCAGGTGTTTCATCAGATTCGAGGTGTTACCTCCTTTGACAGTATCACAGTATCAGCTTAAAGCACTTGTTGCAGGCTCCTGAGTTTGCATCTTTTTCTGTGAAGTACAGCCAGACTTTGACCGCTTCACCTTGGGCATTTTTAATCTGTAGCTCTGCTCTAACTGAACGTACGTACCTGGGCCCGCCTACTACGCTCGCAAAGGTAAAATGATTGGCTGGAATCCAAAGTGTGTGACATCTCAGGAAAAAAAACACCGAAATAAAGCACCGAAATGTGCGCAGCTTATCGGTCTGGTTACTACCGTTCACGTCAGAACCTGTGCCATCATCGCACCGGATACCGGTACCCATCCCTAATCACGAGTACACGAGAACACAAGTACGCATATTGAGACAGGTCCAATTTCTTCACCCTCTGCCAGGATTCTGTGAGGAACATAACGTCCAAGCTATCACTCATTAAAAAAAGCCATTTAGTATAAATGATTTGTTGGCATATAGATTTGAAACAAAGAACTGAAAAACACTTGAAATATAGTTGCATATAAGACATTCATGAAAACACAAAAACTGTCATTGTAGTGGGGTTTTTTTTTAGTTTAAAGAATATGATAAATATAAACTACTATGTAAATGATTATTTATGGCAAGAAAATGTATTATTTTCAATTGGATTAATGGAAAACTACCAACAATAACTCGGTGGTATAAAGAAATCTTTAGAGCTTTACCAATGGAAAGACTGAGTGCAAAATTAAGTGGCAATGATGATATTTTTTTGGATATGTGGCGCCCTGTAATGGATTACTTATCTGATGATCTGAAGACAACCATAGTGAGAGGGGCAGGCCCACTCCAATGGCGGGTTGGGTTTGTCAGGACAAATGTGTAAATGCGTGGTAGACCAAATTATTTACCATACTGTATTAGTTTTCTGTTTACATGTCTCAGACTGCTTATTATGTTATTTTTGTTTTTGTTTTTTTTTGTTTTTCCTTTGTTGTGGTTCTGGTAGTTGTTTTTGTTTTTTGTTTTTTGGGGAATAAAAGGAAAAAAATAAATAAATAAGAAAAGTTTCTCGTACTCATGCTGCCCTGACATACTGCCAACGTATTTTTGGGATAATAATAATAATGGATTGCATTTATATAGCACTTTTCGGGGCCCTCAAAGCGCTTTACAATTCCACTATTCATTCACTCTCACATTCATACACTGGTGGAGGCAGCTACAGTTGTAGCCACAGCTGCCCTGGGGTAGACTGACAGAAGCGAGGCTGCCATATCGCCCCATCGGCCCCTCTGGCCATCACCAGTAGGCGGTAGTTGAAGTGTCTTGCCCAAGGACACAACGACCGAGACTGTCCGAGCCGGGGCTCGAACCGGCAACCTTCCGGTCACAAAACAAACTGCCAAATCTTTGAGGCATGATTGCCCCGATGGCATAGGCACCGATCGGTTTTCTATCGCCCATTTGCTGGGAGTAAAGGCGCCTTCCATTTGCGAGGTGCCCCTGCTGCTTGCCAAACATAGGGAGGAGAGGGGCAGTTCTCTGGCTGGTTGGAGCAGCACCTAATATCCAACTCGCAAAATAAAACAAAATAAAAACAATCCAACAAACACGAAAAGACCAGACATTATAACACAGACTTAGAATTTGCAGCGATGTTTTTTCTAAATTCTATACACGAAAAGTGAGCGCGAGAGCCCTCAGTGTGGCTGCTTGCTGCTTTTCTCAAGTCAAAGTAAAAAGAGGGAGTGTTTGCTCAGGGTACCAAACAGGCTAGGACCGCCCCTGCCCACCTCTACTGATGAGTTTACTGTCAGCATTTTAATTATAAGTTTAAAGGCTGTAGGTTGCAGCAATTGCTCATACACTGTGTATAAATGTTACAGGGCACAGTGCTGGTTCTAATTTCAAGCTTTACATTGTGGATGAATTTACAAATTCATATTTTATTGCACAAATCATTATTTGAGCGAGAATTCTTTATTTCTATGTGTGTGATTCTTGTGGTCCTCCATAAGAATCCCACCCGGGTGTAACATTGTTACAGAGGGATGAGTGTGAGGCTGTTCCAACTCTCAGCACCGCTCTTCTCTTTTCCTGAGTCCTTAGCAATTCTCCTTCCCACGATGACGTTTTCATCGGCACTATCTGATATCCTCGTGTCGGTGTTCCCACATCATCATAATAAATGTTGTTCCAGGTTCAACATTGCAAGTGACCAAACACATTGTTGTGACATCATACTTTTGCGACTCCGGGATAAACCGCCTTAAAAAAATCTACTTAACTTGCGAGAAACCGCCTCTGTCCGCCGATCCAGCAATTGAATTCTTTGCATTTCAGGATACTGATCTTTAATAAACGGTAAGCATCATACATATTGTCCTTGCAAAATTTCATAAATGAATGAACCGTTTGGCTTGCAAAAGTATGTAATAATTATTTGTAATAATTTATTCTGTTTTGGGAGTGTTTTTTATGTATCTGTATTATATTATACATACACATTAAAAGTTGTCAAGGGAAAATTGTATTTAGTAGTCAGTATAATCTTTTAGTTTGCATATGGTAGAATACTGCATGTAGTTATTTGTATTAGGAAATATTCAACCATGTATACTTAGAGGCATATAATCAATTGTGTGTGATCTCTAGCAGGCTGCAGGCTTGGTGTGCACCCCAGGAATGCACCCCCACGTCCTGGGAGCATGAGAGCTTGTACCTTGTCTTATTGTTTTATGGTAGGATTAACGTAGTTACGTCTGTTCTAGTCTAAGTGCTTTAACTGCTTGACTTCCTCACCGTGTTATCTAGGGTGAGGCTACCCTCTTCCTGACCAAGGATGTTTTCCCTTTGTGCTTTCATGTATATGACCCTTTGATCAGACACACACACACACACACACACACACACACACACACACACACACTGAAGTATAAAATAAAGACCGGGGCAGTGCTCGGCGCGAGTCTCTTAGTAGGGAGCTGCCCTTGCTAGCAAGAGTTCTGTGTGTTTCTCTTCTCTGAGTCTTTGCTGAAGAAGTGTTTTAGAATATTTTCCCTAACAAAAGTGAATCTCTGTCCAAAAAATGCAGTCAGTTTACTTTTTACTCACTATGAGTATCATTCATTATTCTTCCCCAGTAATTAAGGTTAGGATATGTATTTTTTTTTGTTCCAATCCATTCTTCTTTTGCAGCATTTAAATAACCTTTATCAGATTTGATGGTTTTGTTACAGACTTTCCAAAAAAGTGTTTTTCTTTCACAAATGTGGGATTAAATTGTGTTAAAATGTACAAAACAGTGATGTCATGTTTTGAGACGAGGACCCAGGCACAGAGAGACTTTATGAATTTAGGAATCTTATGATTTAATAAAGAAATTTGCTGACTTGCACAGAGAGGATAAAATTATGATGACTCATAACGGAGAAGAAGACAACAGACGACGAGGACAGGGAGGAACAGGGGTTTAAATGCACCAAGGAGACAGTCACAGAGAACTCGGGACAACTGGAGACATTTAAGGATGCAGGGACTGACAGAGACAGGGAAGAAGTCTCATCGTGACGTGTAAAGTTTATTTTGCCTGGCTGGGCAGCTCTCTGGGTGCTCAGCACCCCCAAAGCTCTGATTCTAGAATCGCCCCTGGTTCTAACCTTCATTTCATGGACGCACAGTGTGAGCACTCAGGTCGCATCAGAGCATCGGGCCGTATAGTGTGAGACGAACATCTAACCCCTGCGAGTCAATCGTGCAGTTTGAGCAGGAGCTGAATCGCGCGACTGAAAAAATCGCACAGTGTAAGCCGGGCATAAGGAAAAGAGGTTAGCAAAAGGAGATAGGCGGTACTTTTGAAAAAAAAAAAAAAAAAACTCCGCCTGGTTACGCTACGCAGCTGTGTCGCGTGACCACACAGCAACAAACCACAGATGAGCAGGAAAAAGGGGGCGGAGCAAAGTGTGTGTGCGTGCGCAGGAGAGGAGTCGAGCAGAGAGAGCTGCTTTGTCATGAAACGGGAGTAAAGTAGTGAACTTAGAGGAGAGAAACAAACTAAAGTATCGATCATAAACCACTACCAACGTCCTGATCGATATCTGCATCGATCTGCCCACCCTTGTCTCCTGGATCGTAGCTGCGATCAGCGTGAACCACGTGGGTCTGATCTGTTTCCTGTGTTTGGAAAGAGTTGCAGCTTCATCGCGGAGTTTCTCTCGGTTTGTGGGCTCATCTAAAGGTAAGCACCGAGCTAACTTTACTGTGAGTTCAGTTCATGTTGAGTTTAGCTCCTGAATGAGGTCTTCTGCTGCTCTCCTCGGTGTCTGTTCACAGTTTATTGTGAACACGTTGAGAGAAGAGTGAGAGAGTGTTTGAAGTGATAACAGGAAGTCAGAGCGATCTGCTGCAGTATCAGGGTCACAATAAATTTTATAGTCCAGCTGCTGTGGATGAACACATGAGAGGCTGTAAACTCCTACAGTCTCATTTTAATGAGTCTGGCTGCTGTAAAGTGATGCACAGGAAGATGGTAAATGGCCTGTATTTGTATAGCGCTTTACACATTCAGTCACCCACACACTGGTGATGGCAAGCTACAGAGGCGAGGCTGTCAGACACTGTTGCCACCGGGCCCTCTGAACACAATGGGTGAAGTGTCTTGCCCAAGGACACAACAACCGAGACTGTCGTAGCTGGGGCTTGAACCAGCAACCTTCCGATTACAAGACGAACTGCCAACTCTTGAGCCACAATCGCCCCGATGTTAACAACAGATGTTAACAACAGATGTTAACAAAAGCTAATGAAACAGAGATGAAAGTTCATGTTTGAAAGCACTGAGAATTAAAATAAATGGTGGTGGTTAATGTGCAGCTCTTGGTGATTTGGGGGAAGAATTATGTTTTTAATCCTGTTGGGTATTGAATGGTGGTGTCACGGTTGTGGCAGCAATCGTGTGGTGTTGTGGAAAGGACCCTAAATGCTGGCATATATTATATGGCTCTGACCTTTTAACTACATTTCCAGTCACTCCATTTATGGCGTGACCTTTTAACAGACCAACATGTAAAAAGCATAAGTGAGCAGTCCTGCTAATCTTATAACAAGAGGAACATGTGGATTCTTATGCACAACAAAAAATTACAGCGAAGAGTCTGCTCCCTGCATGCTGTTCTGTTTTGTAGAGTTTTCTATAAATTTTGTTTAATAAAATCTATAAGGTTCAAATGAAGCACCAAACTGCAGTTACTCAGTTGGTGGAGGTTCAGTAGTGCAGTTTCTCACTGTCATTGTTAACTGGAGGCTGACACACTGACTGAAGACATTCAGTTTGAGTGGATTCGAGCTTTCCATCTCAGCTTCTTTTTGTCACGGGTGGAATACATATTGTCAGGGATTAAACAATTATCAAAACACTCGGGTGAAGAAACGACACTCAGACACTTCAACAGTTTAACGTGCACGGGTGAGAGTTCAACAGATACTCACACCCCGCACTGGTCTTACATCTTTATTTATACTCATTGTACATGGTGAAACACAGATAAAACAGGAACTTAGCTGCACGCCCTTCACTCGTGAGTGGAGAACATGCAGTTCCTGGAACTTAATCTAACAATAACAGCTGGTTTTCACAACTCATTGTGGTTAATGCTTTGTACGCTATCTATGGCAAACCTTCTGTTGCTATGTGCTGACAACTAGAATATGCTTAAAGAAATGAGCTCTTGCAAGGATGGTTATATTTGCACACATCCCTTGTGATCTCCTCGAACAGTGGTGGCCCACTGTTCAGAGAGTTCATGATAGAAAGACGTTTGCATAAGCAGAAATATTAAACACTTATCAGTATATCACTCAGTTACATTTCATGACAATAAAAGCTTAAAATACTCTAACACATATAAATATGTTTTGTGTTCCAGCTGATCATCAGGAGGAGACGAGCCATTTAGACTCAGCTCAGCCACTACAGAGGAAACAATGACTTCAACCCAAAAGGTGAGCAAGAATATCTCTGTTATTGAACCTGTGTGCAGGTTATGGAGTTTCAGTTTGTTCCACGACTGCATTTCACTCACTGCCTCTGTTTGTATCTCTGTCACTGCAGGACCAACGTGGAGCGAGAAGTCAGCGCTCTCAGGAGGCCGACAAACCTCACAGAAGAAAGGGAGAGAAGAAACACACCTGTGACGATTGTGGGAAGGGTTTTATCAAGGCTAAACACCTGAGAGCACACCAACTCATCCACAGTGGAATTAAACCGTACAGCTGTGACTTGTGTGAAAAATCTTTCACCCAACTTGGACACTTAAAAACACACCAACTCATCCACAGTGGAGTTAAAGCATACAGCTGTGATCAGTGTGGTAAATCTTTTGCTCTCAGTTGCACCTTAAAACGTCATCGAGTTACCCACTCTGGAATCAAAGCGTATAGATGTGACATTTGTGGAGACACTTTCAGTCGGCTAGGGACCCGAAATATTCACCAACGGATTCACACTGGACATGATGTTTGCTGCTGTGTTCAGTGTGGGAAACTGTTTACAACAGATGCACAGTTACAACGCCACATGTTTACCCACAATGAGGAGAGACCTTATAAATGTGACCTGTGTGATAAGACTTTCAAATCTCCAAAGTCCCTGAGAAAACACCAAAAGATCCACACCAGAAAGTAACTCTACAAGTGCAGTTACTGTGAGGTATGTATTTATATTATTATCTTCTTATTTTAGACTGAGTGTTTGGAACAACTCTGTTAATTAAATTGTGTTAGCATGTTAGTAATTCCACTGGATGCAAAGGCATCGACTGGATGTCCGTAAAGAACATAATAAGTCATCTTACTAAAAACAATGATTCCTGTTACTTGGTATCCATGTTTGAGGTACAGTTGCATTTTTTTGAAGCATTGTTTAAATTATTTGTAATTTTCCAACCTCAACCTTCATGTAGATTATAGGGATGGGTAGTCTAAGGAGCTTGTAAAGAAAAGCATTCGGCCTTCTTTAAGTTTCTTGAAGACGTTTCACCTCTCATCCGAGAAACTTCTTCAGTCTTTAGAACAATTAGTTCCATTCACAAGGTCCCAATTTAATTCACTTGATTTGGTAGAGAGTCTCAGCGTTTTTAAACCCTTAGGGCTTTAAAATCTGGGAAAACCTTCACAGACAATAGGGCTGGGTATTGTCACTGATTTCTAAAACTCATTCAGTTCTGATTCACAAGGTCCCGATCCAATTAGTTTAGACTGAATTTGATTTTGACTTTATGTGCTGCCAGACATCTGGCTTTAGTTTTGGCTTCACCCTCAGTGGAGTCTCAGTCCCTGGTCACTTGACTCTCACATGGCCCCCTCTTGTTACCCACTTGCAAGTTTCATACATGGCAAAATACATTTAAAAATATATATTGTACATATCAGAACTGCTCTATTTTACTTGTATTCACTAACTGAACAACAGGAGGGTCATCTAACTAAAAGCAATCAGTGCATCCTACCACACATTCAGAATCAACTTACTTTAATAGTCTGTTAGTTTTATTTACATGTCCTCAAAGTATCAACCAATCAATCAATCTTTATTTATAAAGCACTTTTCATACAGAAATGTAGCACAAAGTGCTTTACATGGTTAAAAGCAGCCCACCCCACCCTCCAACTCACTCCCCACACTCTCTTTTTTTTGCCTGTCCCGTTTGGCTCTTTTGCCATCAGAATTGTTGTCTAAAGGCGAAGAAAGATGCCCAACAGATTTACTTTACCAAATTGACCATCCCAGCTTTGCCGTAATGGTCTGTTTGATTCACCTTTTATTGTTTATTTTATTTTTTATTTTCACTTGCTAAATACAGGACAGACTTGACTGAGGAAGAGAAAGGGGAGAAAGAAAGAGGGAAAAACAGCAGAGAAGAGGGACAAGGATAAAGGGCAAAAAAACAAAAACCAACAAAATAAGCAGACAAAAAATACATATATCAATCACCTGGATCACCTGTTGAGAAAGAAAACAAGTAGAAGATAGAATAAACAACAGGACGATGATCTATGGGAATATAACAATAAAAACAAAATATTAAACATTATTGTGCAGCACATAAGATCAACAGAACACAGTGTGTTTTGAGGTAGGAGCCAAAAAGGGTGTAGTTTGTGTGTGTGAGCACCTGTGTGTACACCTGTGAGCATGGACGCGCTTGTATTTAAAAGGTTCCTTCATGTAATGATCTGCTAGAGGGTGTGGGGGGGCCATAGCCCCGTCCACCAGGGCATGAAGCAGGTATGGAGGAGATCAAAACTCCCGACATCCAGAGGTTGGCATGTTGACATTTTTGAAGAGGCCGGAGGTTATTAATGTTTTTGGAGTTACTGGATTTATGATAATTGTGTTGCTCTCTGTTTGTGATTATGACGGGTATTATGTTGACTGTGGGAGAGAGAGGTCCGAGTCCAGAGTTTTTGTGTATTACTGTTAAAAGTTGAACAGATATAGGAGCTGGGACCAGGGGGACATCAGTCAGTGGCGGATAGATCAGCAGGTAATGTCGGTTTGAGTAATGACAGGGCGGTGTGCGGGAGTGCTGTACACCAAATGGTAAATTGGCAGACAGCAGACGGCGTCCCCAGGCGTTGAGGTGGAGCCCGTCTGCCCCAAAAAGATGCCTCCTCTCCCAGAAGGCATCAAAATTGTTAATAAAACCCACACCATGGGAGACACAGGGGGAGGAAAGCCAGGTGTTAAGGCTGAGCAGACGGCTGAAATGGCCTATCCCTCTGCCTTCTGATATCCTTTGTTCCAGCTCGATCACTTTTTGGCTCAGGTTGATGCAGCTTTCACAACTGGATGTTGAGGTAAGTGGTGCCATGACTCACGCAGTATTTGACAGTATTTGTTCGCTGCACCTCGTTCACAAAGGCGCTGAGCTGCTTCAGTGGCTTCTCTATCAATGCAACCAAGCTGTGTGTATAGTTTCACTGTGACAGTAAAATGTAACTGGATGTTGGCAAAGATGCTCTTTATTTCAAGCTTCATTCTGGATTAAAATGTTGAAGGACTGACTTACACTGTCTTTGTGTCTTTGTTTTGAAGCAGAGCGACACAGATGGATCCAGTTCTCAACCCTGTCGTCACTGTGGTGGTGGGAAAGAGTTTCGCTGTGACCTTTGTGGAAAAACTTACAGTAATCAAAAGAGCCTGAAAATACATCAACGTAGACACACTGGAGACAAAATGAACTACTGCAAAGAATGTGGGAGCGGCTTCCCCACTATAAGTGAATTAAAAAACCATGAACTTTGTCACAGTGGGGTTAAAAAGCACATCTGTGACCAGTGTGGGTCATCCTACACCTCTGCAGGTGAGCTTAATAGACACAAACGAGTCCACCCAAGAGAGAAACCATACAAGTGCAGACACTGTGACAGAAGTTTCTCGTACTCAGGGAGTCGTAACAATCATGAACGTACACACATTGAAGGGAACTTCAGCTGTGACCAGTGTGACAAAAGTTTCGGTAAGCTCAGTTCATACTCCAAACACAAACAATCCCACGCTGCAAATAAATTGTTTCACTATTACCAATGTGCAAAAACATTCACTTCATTATCTGCTCTGAGCAAACATCAGCGTGATCATGAAATCACTCCCATCACTGGATCACAATGAATCTGAAGAGACAGAAAGATCCTCTTCTGGTTTCAGGGTCAGAGGTCTGAAAAAACAGATAAACAGATTTATTAACTATCTACAGCAGCAGTCCCCAGCCTTTTTTGCGCCACGGACTGGTTTAATGTCAGACAATATTTTCATGGACTGACTTTTAAGGCGGATAAATACAACAAAATAAAATGATACGACCAAGACAAACACTGGAATTTTGTAAATAAAATAATAAACATGAATTCACCGTGTAATCGTGTAACTTTATTAGCAGCGTCCTCTGGAAATGCGCCCACAAGATTGAGAGCAACATCCTCCTCTCTGCCCCTTAATGCTCTCTGGTCACTATGGTAACATGTAGATGTTTCTTTCAAAATAAGACACACAACTACAACATGGGGAAAAGACCCAGGCAAAGAGAGTTAATGAAAACCATAAATTTCACGCCCAAGCCTCAACTCTCGCGGCCCGGTACCAAACAACTCATGGACTGGTACCGGTCCATGGCCTGGGGCTTGGGGACCGCTGAACATGGTTTAACATTCCACATTGTATACAAGACTTACAGGCAAATACAGAAACTAATTTCAGTGTGTTTTTCTTTTTAAGTTTAAAACATATCTTAAGTGGTAAGACAATGAATTTTACTCTGACTGTCCATGTTATATAGCAGTATCCATTTTATCATGCATGTATGCTACTTTTTTCTGCTGACTGTAAATGTTTTTCTTTTGTATTCATGAAATAAACTAGACTTTCACAGTTTACGTTTTTTACTGTTTCTGCTTTTGTTCACTCCAAGTTGGACAAAAACCCACAGACAGGCAGAGTAAACTAACAATGTGAAGCAATCACAGACTGTGTATTAAATGGAAAATGGCCTGTATTTGTATAGCGCTTTACTTAGTCCCTAAGGACCCCAAAGTGCTTTACACTACATACAGTCCACCCATTCACAAACACATTCACACACTGGTGATGGGAAACAACATTGTAGCCACAGTTGCCCTGGGGCGCACTGACACTGATTAGCAGAGATGGGCAGTAACGCGTAACGCGTTACTGTAATCTGATTACTTTTTTCAAGTAACGAGTAAAGTAAGGGATTACTATTGCAAAAACGGTAATTAGATTACCGTTACTTTCCCGTAGTAACGCTGCGTTTCTGCGTTACTAAAACGGTGATTTCTTTGCGATAATGTCTCATGACAGTGACGTAAACGAGTGCGCCGTTGGTGACAACAGCTGTGTGCAGATCAACAATGGATCACATATCGATTGCGGGAGAGAGTATGAGCGTGCAGCGTTTAAAGCGTGGAAGTACTGACCTTACTTT